ATTTACTTCCTGACCATTGGGAAATTTTAAACAAAATTCCCAATTGCATCATACTGCATATTTATATAGCATTATATCGGCTAGATCAGCATATGCCTTTTAGAGGAAGCCTGTATTGAGGTCAAGTGGTCTTCATCATCACCATAAAACCTGGTAACAACCATCACATACGACTATATAGTATCAAACCTAATTAATGTAATCAAATCAAACCAGATAGGTTTCGTGATCTATAGTCGTTAGCTGATGACTCGTTTATTCTCGTCTGGAAACTTCTTATCTTGATTCTATCTTACGGCCTTACACTATAGTGGTATATTTTTAGGGCTAATTTTACCTAAGCCAGAGATTATTGTAAACAGTAGGTTATATCGATGAACCACTAAAATTGTACCTTCCATAACAGTTGTAGTACCTCGTGGTCAAGGATCTTCACAATGGTCAAGGTAAATATGAAGACATAATACCTTGACCATTGTGTAAAGATGAAGGCGTAATACTTTGACCATTGTGAAGATGCTTGATTAAAACGTAATACCTTATCCCTTGTGAAGATGCTTGATAAAGACTTAATACCTTAGCCATTGTGAAGATGCTTGAAAAAGACGTTATACCTTGTCCATTGTGAAGATGCTTGATAAAGACGTTATACCTTGTCCATTGTGAAGATGCTTGATAAAGACGTAATACCTTATCTATTATGAAGATGCTTGATAAAGACGTTATACCTTGTCCATTGTGAAGATGCTTGATAAAGACGTAATATCTTATCCATTATGAAGATGCTTGATAAAGACGTTATACCTTGTCCATTGTGAAGATGCTTGATAAAGACGTGATATCTTATCCATTATGAAGATGCTTGATAAAGACGTTATACCTTGTCCATTGTGAAGATGCTTGATAAAGACGTTATACCTTGTCCATTGTGAAGATGCTTGATAAAGACGTAATATCTTATCCATTATGAAGATGCTTGATAAAGACGTTATACCTTGTCCATTGTGAAGATGCTTGATAAAGACGTAATATCTTATCCATTATGAAGATGCTTGATAAAGACGTAATACCTTATCCATTGTGAAGATGCTTGATAAAAACGTAATACCTTATCCATTGTAAAGATGCTTGGTAAAAACGTCATATCTTATCCATTATGAAGATGCTTGATAAAGACGTAATACCTTATCCATTTTGAAGATGCTTGATAAAGACGTAATACCTTATCCATTGTGAAGATGCTTGATAAAAACGTAATACCTTATCCATTGTAAAGATGCTTGGTAAAAACGTAATATCTTTTCCATTATGAAGATGCTTGATAAAGACGTAATACCTTATCCATTTTGAAGATGCTTGATAAAGACGTAATACCTTATCCATTGTGAAGATGCTTGATAAAAACGTAATATCTTATCCATTGTGAAGATGTTTGATAAAAACGTAATACCTTATCCATTGTGAAGATGCTTGATAAAAACGTAATACCTTATCCATTGTGAAGATGCTTGGTAAAAACGTAATATCTTGACCATTGTGAGGATGCTTGACCACTTCAATTGTTCCGGTTATTATTATTAAAATGAAGATGTTATACTTTGACCATTGTGAAGATTGTGGTCAAGAAACAATATGTTAGCATATATAGGAACTATTGACGGGATGGGTTAGAGGCAATCCGAGCGCCCCGGCTCCCCTTTGCGGATGTTTGTAGGGCATTAGTCATGGTAGGGGTTAAGAATGCCTCTCTTGGAAATTCTCCTAATCTAGGAAGACGGAAAATACATTTAACGCGATTTTGAAAGTGAAAGTAGAATGAATTTTTCAATTTCATTCCACAGAAAATGCATAAATAAATTGAGAGGTTGAAATTGTGAATAAGAAAAACATTTACATATGGGCTATCAAGATGAGACATTCTAGGTCTAGGAGTACAAGACACTATTTCAGCCACTTACTCCGTCATGGATTTTTACTTCATTAATTGAAAATGTATATGTTCAGTCGATAAAGTCTTCATACTGTAGATTTTATAGAATGACTTGAATACCAAACCATTATCGATCGGTCTATTAGAGTTTCCAGTCGAGCATGATGGTTATTCAGTGTTAAAAACACTGACTCGATTGTAGTATATATTTATAGCATGTCAAATAATTTGTTTGCAGTAGAAATGTCTAGAAATGTTGAACTCGGTAATTTCCGTATAATGTCGACATTTTCCGTAAATATGAACGTCTTCAAAATATATTTTGTACGTGTACTTAGTATTGATTAGTCTGTTCCATATAATAATTTTACCAATTGGACATTTTTTTTGCAAAGTCCACCGTTTAGTAATAAAAGCATGTAAACAAAATGTCTTAATCTCTGCAGTATATAATACAATATGGCGGCTTCTTGTATACTTTTGTTCTAGAAACCGGTTATATCTTCCTCGATCGTTATCAAATTATAGTTATTCAAAGCAGTCATTCGAGGCATTATATTAGTTCTAAAAGGAAGAAAAAAAATGGAAATAAATATTTTGAAAAAGGGACTCAAATTGTACATTTTGAAATTGTTGGAGGCTGGTTTGCCCAAGGGTTGAGATTTCCGGCGAAGCACGACTCCGAGCACTTGAGGCGCGAGTCTGCGAAAACACTACTTGTCTGTCCGAAGGTTTTTTCGGTCGCTGCCAAAAGGATTCAGGACCGACCGATTTATGTTGAGGCTTACTGCATTTAACATGAATTAAGTATAATATCATGGTTTCGTTTCGAATGCTTAGAAGTAGATCCCATCCTAGCATAAAACACTGAGCTCATGTATGGCAGCCTTTCGAACTGCACAACTTGATTATTAAATTATTGAAAAGAAAAATCCGATTCAGTTCGATTCGGTTCGCTTTGCTTTCGTACTACAATCCCATGTTGATAGCCGCTTTCGCACTACCGAGAAAGGTTATCTTTTTTTTAGTAGCCCTACACAGTTCACTTATTTAACTTCAAAATTTATCAGTATAAACTATGAATATTTTCTGTTTCCTCTTTCTTTGTGTCCTTTATTAATCCCTTACTTGTGATTTTCAAATATTTATATTATTACTGTCAGAACTGGATAGAACCGAATTACTTTTGCAGTGCAAAATTGGTAAATGTAGTACTGTTTGTAATTATATAAAGCAATTTTGTCCAATTAGTCGACCAAACCTTTATCATTTGGTCTGGGTCATCACGACATCGACCCAGAACAAGTTTGTCAAGTTTTCTGCCACCATTAATTAATACATGTAAATACGACAAAAATAGATAATCCTTTTTGCACGAACAGGCAACTGAAATATGTGTTTCAAGTGTTGAAATTTGGTCACAATATACAGATAGTTGTTATTTTCATAATTATGTTCCATTTCATAAGTCTTCAGGGCATAAACAAAATGCAGAAATCGCATAAAAGAATGCTTTTAATATGCCCTTGATCACATAAACAGATTTCTTCAATTCAGCGCATTTTTTCAGGGATATATAGATGTTCCATGTTGCATTTTTGACATAACACAATACATTTCTAAAGTGTGATTTTTTATTTTTTTTAGAATAGTCTACTGAAGACTGGACAAGAACTTTTTCCTCGGCCAATGTTTATTTACCTAGCATCAAGGGTATCGACAGGTCGAGGTTCCTTTTACAGATCAGATCTGCTGTTGCACTAATGCTAAACATAACATTGATATTGCTTTCTGGTTTTAAGCATGGTTTTTTTAATTTTGAAAATTGATCTGATTTGATGATTGTAAACGTTATATGAACAAGAAAGACATATATACAAGTATACCAACATTTACAGATCCCATAACAATTAGTTCATGCCCACTTTCATATTATTATAACAGTCAAATGGAATGGTATATAAATGGACACAGTATTGTCATGATAACAGTATGGAAATATAGTGTTATTATATGATACGTGATCTTGAATTACAGAATTTAACCCCTGGGAAATTAATGGGAACTACAATGTTCTTACTTTACTACTTATCACTGAAATGAAGTTTTACTTCTATATACATGATAAGGCACAGTTAGACCGACCAAAATATAACATTGAACATCCCAAAACAACTCAATTTTGAGTCGCACCGCGACAGCCTTCTGTCCATTCTATTACGAGATTTCATAATACAAAAACCCTGCATTCAAATTGACAAGAGCTGGTCCCATGTCGTCGACATTTGTTTCGGATATGCAATCGTTATTAGGACAGTTAGTTTCAGAAAGAGAGGTTACTGTGATTAGTTCAAATATATAAGCAATGTAGAATTACTCGGTCGCAGTACATAATTTTACTATTTACTATTACCATTTAAAACAATATCTGACAACGTTCTTTTTTCAAGGTGTGGAAATGATCATCCCAACCGAGATATTCTTATTTGAATATACTGTGTGAAGGTTTAACAAAACACAAGACAATAATATTATGCAATATAACACACTTCTTTAATAAGGTTGGGCACAAAACGTTTCAACACAATATACACGTGTCGTCATCAGATGTAATATTCTCCACTTTCTTCAAAGTGTTCACCAGGTAGAGTGTCGAATCACCGTAATGATTTTTGAATTTTTTGAAGGTTAATAAAAAAAAACAGAAATGTGAGTCACTATACCATCATTTATCTAATCTATCTTATCACGAATCTAAACAAAATGATTTCCTTGTACCCAGTCATTTTAGATATTTCTACCGTGATTTCATCTAATATGATTGTAAATAAAAGTATACGTATGTGAATGGTTGTAATTATAATGAGTACCATGCTTATCAAGGGAACAAGCACGTCGTTAATCATGTTTAAAACGAAAATATTGAAACCAAACGAGAGCATTAATAATTGGTAATCTCTTCTGAGCCCGTACATTTTTATCTGACAAGAGCCCATTCGGGACAATAGCCAAGAATAGAAATAGACCGTTACTTAAATATTATTTTATTATCACTAAGATCAAAATGGTGTCAAGTAACACTTTCATCTGGATTGTCTGCCCATTTCTGTCTCTCACCAGAAGACATAAGACAAAATAGTACGGCACCAATGAAATAAAACCCAACTGATATATAAAACACCCATTTCCATTGATCGTCTCCCTGAAACAATGTGTTAACCAGTTTATATGAAAATTTATTTCATATAAAAATACAATTTATCACATGCATTTTTAGAAACATTCGAACCAAGTGCAATACTACGATGCTTATTTGGATACGAATTTCATATAATGTTAAGGCATTTCGCTACTCACTTGTCAAGCAATTGCTCTTTCCTCTGTACGATGATGTATGAGCACCTTTTCATGTACTGTTGCAACAGGTAAGGAAATATCATTACATTTCGTAGTGAATTACAGAAATAAATTAAAGCTGTACCTTTTCAACTATGTACCCTGTTAATGTTGGACTCAAAATACCAGGAAGACAAGCCATCGTGTTGGCGAAACCCATCACTAAGCTGGAATACTGTGGAGCAAGATCAAGAGCGTTTACTCCTGTACCAGCTATTGCAAATCCGCCAATGCCAATTCCCATAGATAAAGCGATCACGAATTGTACAATTGTTTGGCTATAACATGCCCACATAATGAAAATGATTTGGAGTACATAAGCTGAAAAATAGATCATTTTTGTGTTAATCAGAAAATCTTTACGCGCGAACTAGAAACACCGAATACATTCTTCTTTGGAACACATCGATTGTAGTTTTATGGAAATGTCAACCCGGAATTGTGCAATGTTGCTCTCCTGCGCCTACGACTAAAGCTTTGTACACTTACCTCCACAGGTAAAGAATTTCCTCACCGTTGTTGTACTGATGCCACGGTTTCTCATACAATCTGCAAACGGACCACCCAACGCAGACGTCACTGTCAATAAAAGATATGGTAGAGGCGACAGAAAACCAATCTTAAAATATATGTTCGTATGTCACTATGTTATGGTGTTTTCAAAGTTCTATAATTATGCAGCTTCTTATCTCTTCATTTAATAGAATTAGTTCGTTTTGTGTTGCAATATTATATTCCATCATGTTTACCACTTCAAATGAAATGGTATTTGCGATATAAAAATTTTATCCAATAAATCTCTAAGATCCTCAAACCTCAAACAGAGATCGGACAGAAAATCTGAATGTGACAAATAGAAACTTTAAGGCTAGAAAATCACTTTACATTCCATGAAAATGGGCCATGCACATAGCTTCGTTTTTTCTACCTTGGCGGTATGGAGGTATACAACGTTTACTTATCGGTGACCAAAAGGTTTTGTTGTTTCTACAATAAATACAAATGTATTGCACATAACAAACCTATTAAAAGCTGCAAGATCATAGAGTGAAGGCTTGATTTTGGCGTTTTGGAATCGATTTAATCTAGTTCATAGTTGTTAACTTTGCATTGGTTGTACTTTGCAATTACGTTTCAAAGTCCCTTTTTACAAGAATAGTAGGAATAACCTTTTTGATATCTGTATTATAAATATCGTCTAGATATGTCGGTAACTCTGCTATCCAAGTGAATATACCCCAATTCTCAACAAAGAATCCAATACCTATAGCCCAAACTGGTGCTGAACAAAAAATCTTCCCGTATGGTGGATTCTGAAAATTGGAATATTTTAGTGCTTTAACATGTAGTGGAAAGTATATTTCATTAGATTTTTAAAAATCTTGATAATTTCCTTTCAAAGTAATTGGGAGTGTTTAATTCTCTCGTGTACAGGCCTAGTATGGAACTTTATGTAGACTCTCATATTGGGTATGTAGACTCTCATAATGGGCATGGACTATCTCACTTGCTTAATTTCTGATGTTATTGAACGAGACAACAAAGGTGTAATCAGTGTCTCAGTCCAATGGGCTTCCCCAGCTTGGCGGAATTTTTTTTATTTTATTTTCTGGTAGATAAATTACTATGCGATCAATATGTTGTTAGGAAAAGATAAAAATATAAATATAGGTGTCATTGAAATTGGTAATGCTATAGGCTGATTTGGAAACTGTCCGTTACCTCACTTTTGCACATCCAACCTAGATTGTCCTCTATATAAATTTGCTCTTCTCTTGATATTGACGTATGTTCGGATGGTTTTTCTGTAATGAGGTACATCCAGAATACAAACCAACAAACTTCCAATCCTCCTATAAATAAAATTATAAAGCAAAACAACAATTAGATGCCCAAGCTAATGTATTAAAAATCGGACAACACTTTTCTGTCTCCATGGTAATCATTAATTTACAATAAGAGTATTTGGAATGAAGGAGATGGTAGATTCCCAATTCCTTGTGAGAATCAATGTCATTACTTGAAAGATATCCTTTAATATTTAATCTTTACAGCCTTTGATCATCCAAGATAGAAATATACATTAAAATTGTATACAATGAAGTATCAACCTACCAAAGAAATAAAAAATTGATGGCCATCTTGCCTGGCTACTAGCTAGTAGACCTCCTATTGGTAAGCTAATCACGTTACCAACGTATGCCCCTGGAACGAGAAACAGCACTTACAGTGTTTCAGCTACCAATATCATTTTTTGAAGACAATCCTGTGTCCTGTTCGCTTATAATTTAAAACTGTGCGTTAACTAGCAGAGATGATAGTCTGTTTCCAGGTCATTATACTGTATTCTTCTTACTTGCGTTCAAGGACAGCGGCATTAGTCTGCTCTTTTTAGATTTCAGGAGGAAACAGGGTTGAAAAATCCGAAGGTATTATTTCGATCTATGCCGGGATTGAAACCCGGACCGGATGAGGTTAGCGAGAAAGCGTCAAACTCACTGGGTCACCTCGGCTTCCCGCTACTCTGTTAATGGAAATAACTTCCTTACCCGAGAAGATAAAACCTGACAATTTTGATTTCTCTTGTGACGGAATCCATTTTGATAATAGTTCCATCATACATGAATAAGTGGAACCCTACAGAATAACAAAACATATAATGATTCTAATGCATAAAATAAGGTTTGGCCAATTATTGATATACGACCCGAATAACATCAATTTGTAGTATTCATATTTCCCACAGAATTAACCAATTCAAATTGTGACAAATTAAATGCTTGGGATTTAGAGGTTCTATAGACCTTTAATTTTCGTAACGACTTGGTGCAATAAGGTATTTCCAAAATGGACGATTAATTAAATTGAATGATTAAGAATTTCTGTGTCGGTATTGAATATGTATAATACATTAAAATTATCGGCTATGAAACCAAAACCTGTGACCTTGGCGATTGAGATACGATATTTTTTGTAAAAAATTAATGTTTAATTTAAAAAAAAAATGCAAAACAGCCGGGTACGATGTTAAGTCTTTGAAGAGACTACCACCTTTAGTGGCCATCTTCGAGTGACAAGATACGTTAAGATAGGATCGAACTGATTACGTTCACAAGCCGGGGAGATCTATTACCAACAGACAGCCTGGAAACATTGCCTTACAATCGTAACGAACCATTGCCTCATACTAGTACCTCTCCAAATCCCTGAAAAAATCTGAGAACAATGAACACTGATACACTCCATTGTGCTGTTACCGGCGTCAGTAATAATGTTATTCCTGTTAACAATTGACCACAACCAAATAAATATTTACCACCGTATTTATGGCTCAACCAACCTGAAAATTGAATAATTAATATAAGCAAATAATAAGGCCACTACCAGAGTATATTTTCACCCTATCTGATTAAAATCCAGATTTATATGTTACATTACTGGGACTTTTATTTCTTCATTCATGATCTGAAGAATTCTTTTGAAATCATGTTCAGTTTAAAGTTGACACAATTGATTCTAGCCAATAAAAATCTTTGTTGAAATTGGGTTGATTTTTTTTTTATCTCACAGCGAACAGATCATTGTAGTGGTTTAAACATTTGATGTCTAAGAACATGTTTTACATGATAATTTCGTCAGATCATGGGTGGCAAGTGTAATGAAACATTCAGATTAGCATTTTAATTGAAACACCACTACCGTATAATTATATGTTACAGTAACACTACACAACATTTTTGATATATATCATTATTAACTATCACTTAAAGATGGGTTTCCTTGTTTTTAGTGCCACATTAAGAAAAAAACTATTTTATTAATTCATGTTTCTAATGAATTATCATATATTCTTAATCATATCATTATGTTCTTATTGCATATGATTAAGAGTTTTAACCAATCATAAATGTCGATTTATGTACAGTCTGGATAAACAAAAAAAAAGATTTATTGACCTTTCTTGATCGGTCACTCATAGGAATTCTGATGGTAATTGTCTTCTAATTTAGCTAATTATGAATTGTTTATGGACATGTGAGACAAACTGGTATTTTTCCAAGTCACCAGAACACGTCTACTTTCTATTTCTATTAACAAATAAATGAAAATAATGGAACCCATCTTTAAAAGCCGGAAAATAATTGAAAAACACTTAAACACAATGTAACTAGGCAATTATTTACGGTGAATTAGTACATCTACAACTCGACCAAGAAATAATATAACGTCAACTAAATAAAAACGGTACTTGTTAATCGTTGCGTATTATTATGTGTTTATTATTATTATGCTAGCTGTCAGCCATGTGATTTAGAAATTCCAAATGAAATATATTCTCACTTAATAGAAATTTAGCCAATGCTGATTGGATGGAAGTGGGTTAGGTTCGAAACTGTATTAACTTATTTCTTTCTATATTACAAATATTTCCCAATAGAAAAGCCCTGCTTGTCTTGGGGATTTACTTTACAATCATTTCTCCTTGTTTGGTCTGTATTGTTCGTGGGAAGACGTCTTCATTTAATGAATACGAAAGAATAACCATGCCTGTGGACCTTATCAGTTGACTACAAGAAAATAGTTTCTACTTACTTAAGGGTATTTGTGCGACAATTCCACCATAATATGGAATTGATAATAGTAGTCCCTGGAGCTGTAAATCCCAATTTACATCAGCTTTCTACAAATATAAGAATAACTGACGGCATTTCTCAGAGATGTTAACTTTCTGGCATATCAACCAGGATAACGTTAAGGATCACACTCTTTCGTTTATACGACTATTGCTTCAAAAACATTCGCACTGATATGAGAGTAATTGATATGGAATGATAAACCCTTTGTGCCTTTGAAACTCTGTGAGCAGGACGCCTAAAGGTCCGGTGTCCAATCCTTGCAAAAGTCGAGATATACCAAACCAGATTCCCGTGGCAGGTAGAATGATAAGTACCTATAGTCGTTCGGATCAGTGGCATTTAGAGGAAACATCAGGAGGGATACAGACCATTCTTTCACCATGTAAATTTTAAAGTGTGGAGAGGGGGTGGGTGGGGTGGGGGGGGGGGGATTGGTAGGGAAGCTGCAAAGCCGGGCTAGCATCTTTTGGTAGGGGCATAATAAACAGTAAACATAGGCGTTCTGGTAATCTAAAAGGAGTGGGTTGATTTTGTCGCATGGCAAAATCGCTTCATTGCGCGCCTCCACCTTTATTCAGGTACACTTCAATAGGACGTAAAACACGTTATTACGACATTGAACGTGTTTCAAGAAGCAACTACTGTATACCTACCAGAGCTTTAGACGTTGTGTTATAAGAAACAAAACCTCCACCTGTCATAGGCACTATGGCCACACTTAAAATTGTTTTAGATGAATATGACAAAACTGAAAGAAAAGAAATTTTGCACCTATATCATAATTAACAGATTGCAAAGGAAGAAGGGATGAAATAATTATCTTGTTCGAATAAGCATCTATTTAAAAGCGAACATTAAGAAGACAAATCTCATTTACTATTCGCATATAATAGGTGGGTCATTATGCCAACTTTCGTTTTTAGTAGGATAAAACGAATTGTATACAGTTTGAAGGGATTGTAAAGAGGCTTTCTAAATTTTTGTATATGCATCGCGGAGCTACCGGTGGCTGCAATTGGCACCATTCCAATTTTCATTCTGACGTCTGTGGTTCTTTTAATTCCGCTAAAACTAACGCGTTTTATGACGTCACTAGAGGGCAACTGCATAGATATCAATAGTAGCTTCCGGTAGCTCTCCGATACACATACAAAATTTAGCAAACCTCTTTACAATCCCTTTAAAACTCCTAACTTACCGAATCCTAGAAAACCCATGAAGACAAATATATAACGCTTTGGTAGATAACATTTGGAAACGGGTATGTCTGAATAATTCTCATTCTGTAATTCTGTGTATGAATTTGGCATTTCTATGAGTATTTTAGGGTATTTTTTTGCCCATTTATAGAGACACCTATGTTTGCTTCCGGTATTTATAAATAAAATGGAATGAGTATCAAACCAGATTTGTTCTTAACAGAGAGCTAATCGACAATGTCCACTGATATTTCACTATTATTATGTTGGGTTACGTAATGTTTTCCTTGAAACTCTCACAGTATGGTGCTAATGACATTCTGCTAACGAAATCCTGAGCAATGTTCAAACCTTATGTATTTTTGTCAGAATGCCAAAATTCACTTTCGCAATCACAGGATTGGAGCAATGTCAAAATTCACTATCGCAAACACAGGATTGGAGCTATGTCAAAATTCACTATCGCAAACACAGGATTGGAGCAATGTCAAAATTCCCTATCGCAAACACCGGATTGGAGCTATGTTAAAATTCATTTTCGCAAACACAGGATTGGAGCTATGTCAAAATTCACTATCGCAAACACAGGATTGGAGCTATGTTCAAATTAACTTTCGCAAACACAGGATTGGAGCTATGTTCAAATTCACTTTCGCAAACACAGGATTGGAGCTATGTTCAAATTCACTATCGCAAACACAGGATTGGAGCTATGTTAAAATTCACTATCGCAAACACAGGATTGGAGCTATGTTAAAATTCACTTTCGCAACACAGGATTTGAGCTATGTTAAAATTGAATGTCGCAAACACAGGATATTGTAATATCGAAATTTACTGTCGCAAACACAGGATTGGAGCTTTGTTAAAATTCACTATCGCAAACACAGGATTGGAGCTATGTTAAAATTCACTATCGCAAACACAGGATTGGAGCTATGTTAAAATTCACTTTCGCAAACACAGGATTGGAGCTATGTTAAAATTCAATGTCGCAAACACAGGATATTGCAATATCAAAATTTACTGTCGCAAACACAGGATTGGAGCTATGTTAGAATTCACTATCGCAAACACAGGATTGGAGCTATGTTAAAATTCACTATTGCAAACACAGGATTGGAGCTATGTTAAAATTCACTTTCGCAAACACAGGATTGGAGCTATGTTAAAATTCACTTTCGCAAAAACAGGATTTGAGCTATGTTAAAATTGAATGTCGCAAACACAGGATATTGCAATATCAAAATTTACTGTCGCAAACACAGGATTGGAGCTATGTTAGAATTCACTATCGCAAACGCAGGATTGGAGCTATGTTAAAATTCACTATCGCAAACACAGGATTGGAGCTATGTTAAAATTCACTTTCGCAAACACAGGATTTGAGCAATGTCAAAATCAACTTTCAAATTTCCTAAATTTATTTTTTGGATAGCACGAAAGCACTCCAGTTCTTGCAAAGAGGTATATTTCATGAAAAGTTACTTATTGGTTGGTTGGAATTTCAGTTATGGTTGTCGGTTTGTGGTGGACACTTTTCTAGGATATCGTTCGGTTGTCAATAAACAATTTAAACAACACCTTTTAGATCTACAATAAATACCATATGGTTCAACTGACGTTCACAAAACTATAATAAATGGGATAAGAATCTAAAGTACGAGACGATGCGAATATTAAAATGGGTATTAGTATAAAATAGAAGATTATTTGAGATAATTATGCTCAACTGACAATAACGTATCAAAAATGATGCAGACTGTCTAATCGCTCATTATTTCCAATGTAGACCGAATGCATACATGCAAGCGTCATGTAAGCATGTTCACCTTATCTGATGAAGAAGTTGCTAATTAGCCATAATTGCTTATTAAAAGTCTTCACGATAAGCCAAACTTCTTTCCAGATCTCTCTGTGGAATTTAAGGGAGGTAATCTTATTGCATAGGCCAATAATTTTCAGTTCAAATTATGAGCATTGTTTTGAAGAATTGTTTTCATATTTGCAACAATTCTATGAATTCAATTCAGATCTGTTTCGTTTTGTATGTAATGACAATACAGTTTGTTTTGTTGTAGGGATTGGTCCAAGGTCTGTTTTTTTTTCTTGTCGTTTTGTTTAGTCTAGAGTCTTTGTTATTTTCTATTTTCAGAATGGTAATAAAATATTCAATAAAGGAAGAATAATGAATGCCGCCTTTAAGGAAGCCTTAAAAATCTTTGATTTTCAATGTGCAGTCTTTCACGATGTAGATTTAATTCCTGAAGATGACAGAAATATGTACACATGTCCTCAACAACCTCGTCATTTATCAGTAGCTATTGACGAAATGAATTACAAGTAAGTCAATCTTTTAAATGTTTCTTTCCAATACTGCTCCCTGTACAATACTCCCAGTCCACTATGGTGCGAGCTGCTATTATTCAGCAAGGTGGACGCTAGATCCTTTAAAAGGTCGAATACTTTCCAGATATTTTCGGTTGTTCGATCTGAGTGACTCACCCGAAAGCGTCTTAACCTTTGAATCAAAAATAAACCGGGTTCACGTTTGTGCACGATACAGGTATCTTGCCAGAAAGCAAAAATATCTTGCACACTGCAATACTCCAAGTAGATCAGAAAGTAGAAGATTCATTTCATTGCTGCAGTTTCTAAAAGACTTGCTTACCTTAGCACCCTCCTATTCCAGTATTCAATTCGGTCCCAACATTACTATTATATGGTTGATATCTGTAAATAGATCTGAGCCTCCATGTTGAGGGTGTTTAAATTGATCCTTCGTTGCATATGTTTCTTACAATAATATCGATCCTTTTATAATTATTTAAATTAGAAATTTAAATTACTCGCAAATTCAAATTTATTTAATAATTGTAACCTGCATGAATAATTGTATTGTTCAAATTCGTTCACAGAATTGTAGATCTTATAAAGAGATTGATAAAGTGTTCAACCAATTGCGGTAAAACATATCTTCGGCAAATCATTGTGTCTGTCATAACTATGCGGCAAGACTGTTGTGATATGGTTACATCGAACGCAAAATGAAATTGTGACTGATTCCAGTAGATTGTGACTGATTCCAGTAGATTGTGACTGATTCCAGTAGATTGTGACTATCCAGTAGATTGTGACTACCAGTAGATTGTGACTGATTTTTTCGACTACTTTACAAATAAATCAATGTGCTATTCAGTTATTAACTATATAAATTTATGTATATTACATAATATACAGTCAAGTAACCTAATTTCGTGGAAACCTATTATTCGTGGATTTCCGGAAAAGATTAATAATTTGCATGAGCAACCTTGCGCGACCTCCGCATTAGTTTGTTTTGATAAACATGGGTTTTCTCTACAATATCAGCTAGTAGAATGAATTCAGTAGTTTCAAGCAAGGTAAAATGTATTAATGTATACTTTGACAAATACAAAATGGCGGATTTCAGTTATTACCAAACGTCACCATTTTTTATCGGCCAAATTTCCTTATAATCCCAAGCGGTAATCGGAATTCCAAGTGTCGTCTGCTAGAATGTAGTTCAACGAATGAAGTCACGTGATCAACTAGCGGATTCAGTGTCAGCAGAAAATTTCTATGGAACACAAAGTGGACCATATTCTTTTGTTGTTTCAGTGACTTATAGCAATAAATCACGCTACGTATCTTATTTTGTCAGTCACTATTTTTTTTTTAAATCGTGGTTCTTTGAAGGAATTGTCACTAGTTATAATGAATTGATATTAAAGATAAATACTAAGAGAAGTTAATAATACCACCCGGTATCCATACCACGTGTTTTTCTAGACTTATTTATAGATCATTGTACACGAAAATAGGTGACGGATTCTGCCGCCGTTGCCGAGTTGATTGCTCATGAAATATGGGTCAAAGTGAAGGATTCATAAAGAAAATCGAAATAAACCAATTTTAATTATTTTGTAGAATATCTGAGGAAACATCTAAGACATAAAATTTTTGTTTTTTTTTTGTTTTGTTTTAACTTTGACGAAATTCGGTGTTGAATCCTTATATCCACGAAAATAGGTTACACCACTGTATTATGCAGAACATACTTCAATGTATTCATCTATAAAAACTGTTCAAATATGCATTTAATTTATGATGCAAAATGGCACTAATAGCCTAATACTACATATTCCACGCATGATAAAAGCTTGATTGTTGATTCTAAATCAGTAAAGGACATTCTCTCTTTAGGGCCCTTAAATTTAACTTTCCAGAAAGCTAAGCTAAAAGATTTTTTAAAGTAGTGAGCACCATGTTGTATTATACAATTACTTGCATAAGGCTTAAAGTAGTGAGCACCATGTTGTATTATACAAGTACTTGCATAAGGCTTTTCAACTAGTTGAAAAAAAAAAACTCACCGATGACAATTGGTGAATAAAATACGACTGATTTCGACTAATTGTGACGACTTCGGGGCCTAGTCCTGGGGTTTGTCTGAAATTAGATAAAACCGGCGTATACATTAATTAATTAACTACAGTAGTGTTATAACATACCCAAAAAGGATTTAGTTAGCTTTAAACGCATGTAAATAGGGATAAGGTCGACCTTGCAAGTCTTGCAAGATATTGGAGCAACTAGATATGGAAGAATATTGTCAATCATTGGAGACCAAAGAAATTCTACCACTGAAAAAATGCATTTATTTTGTATCGTGTGACCATCCGTTGCTCATGTTCAACTTTTAGCTTGAGCTGGCCTGTCGTCTTCCTGAGATGTGGGAACCATAATGTTTGTCGCGATTGTGATGTATTCGATGAGATGTTTTGAATCGTCAGTCGACATGAATCTACCCCACGTATAGAAATGTTGTGGGAGGTATTGTTTATAAAGTACTTTCGTGTACCAGCCGGTGACATATTTTTAATGAACCATTTAACACGATTTCACATGTTGTTGAACTATGAAGTGAAAAAAAAAAATGTTGATCGACTTAAATATGTTTGCTGGTTGCTTTTCGATTTAGATTAAAATTGGGTTTGATGCTCTATGTTTCTGTTCCTAGTTGGAAGGATCAGTAACTTTCATTTTCTGTCATCGTAATGGACTTCAAATGCTGAATTGTAGTCGTGATCGGTGCAATGCACATCCAGCCATGGTTCAAAAAGGATTCCATTGCATAGTCCTTTAATTATTCCCAATGAGGAAATGTAATTAAGATCTAAGAGTTTGGTAAAGATGATTACACCCTTTTCCTTTAAAGCGGAAAAGTTCTGGAGACTGAAGTTGACAAATGTTACCAAATTCACATCTAGAATGACAATCAGGTGCCAGACATCCAGTAAATATGTGGTCTTAATATAGGCATCAATCTGCATGTCCATCGCGTCCAATCCGGGAGCTAACAGCACCAGGTATTTCAGAACTCAAAGTCGGGTCAGCAAAATTACTGGAGGCACCATAGAAACTCCACTGTGTTGTTGCCTACTTTTTTCAATGATCAATTAGAATTACGCAACTACGCACCTTTTTGATAAAAGATAAAAGATATTAATGACGAATAGATGTTCATGCTGACTTCGATTGAATGTATATAATATGTCGATGTGTTCTCATTTGTTTCTAGTTTAAAAGTCATTTCTCGTTAATATTGTTGTCAGCATTGTCATGGAAACGCAAATGAATTACAATTGATTTTCAAGACAATAGGTGATGTTTGTCATTACAAATTTTTACTTGATATAGTATATGTTAACCTGACAAGGGTCGTCTGCAAAAAACACGTTTTTGAATAAAAAAAAAGATTTCGAAAGATATGGCCCTTTTGATATTGTAATAAAATTTACATTACGTTAATGAACAGATTCCATAGAGATACTGTGATTCCTGTATTTCTAAATAATAACCAAGTTATTCGGTAAAACAATTCCATGTCATAATCGAGACAGGTTTTCTGGGATTACAGGAACTCCAGTCGTTAGGAGACAAATGGTATGCACAAAGGCAAATGTAAGTTTCACTAATGAACTTACCAAGCTTAGAAAGGTCACTTAAGTGATTTTCATCATGTTTTGTATGTGTGGCCAAAGCATGTTTTGCATGAAAACTATGACTCAAAATTTCGAAAGTGAAACTAGAATTGGATATCAGTGCGTTAAATTTGTGATGAATTATTTTTAAAGATACTAATTAGGCTTTAATCGGTTCACTACATTTCTTAAAGCTTGGCAGATCTTTCGACATTATCTGTTACTTCCATTCAGTTGCCAGCTTCAGAAAACGTTTTCTTTGTTCTTCAGTAACCCATTTGTATGACACAAAACTTGTTCAGTGCTAAAGAGCAAAATTCAACTACACATTTTCAAAACATTTCGCTTACAGGACTGGTCTTTGTTGTCGCTGTGTTGGTGGTAGCTTGCAGATATTATTCCTTTTGAATATTGCGTGCGTTGCTCTGTCTCTGTGGGTGTTATTTTAAATGACACATTACAGAGGAGGAACATCTATCTTGCGTTATAAGAGACTCATGAACATGTCATTTTTAGTAAGAAATCCTGTTGATAATTTTTTTTTCGTTTTAAAAATGTAGGTTTCATTCTATTATTCCGATCTGACTCTGGCGATGGTTAATTATAAAGAAAGGCTGATGTGAATTTAACACGATATCCTGGAAGCTATCTTAAGGCTTAAGTCAGACAGAAAATAAACCTGAAAGTTTATGTCTAATCAAAGGGTTTTCGAGTAGCTTCATTTCGTGCCAGTGTTGATATATAAGGAATCAATTCCACCCATAGAGTGGACAGCAACCTCTGCACGTATTTTCAGAATAGATCATGTGTTGTTTTGGTACAATAAAATATTTGTGTTCTTTATTTTTTAGAATAAATCATGTGTTGTGTTGGTACAATATAATATTTGTGTTCTTTATTTTCAGAATAGATCATGGGTTATGTTAGTACAATGAAACATTTGTGTTCTATATTTTAAGAATAGACTATGTGTTGTGTTGGTACAATGTAATATTTGTGTTCTATATTTTTAGTATAGATTATGTGTTGTGTTGGTACAATATAATATTTGTGTTCTTTATTTTCAGAATAGATAATGTGTTGTGTTGGTACAATGAAATCTTTGTGTTCTATATTTTAAGAATAGATCATGTGTTGTTTTGTTACAATATAATATTTGTGTTCTTTATGTTCAGAATAGACTATGTGTTGTTTTGGTACAATATAATATTTGTGTTCTATATTTTCAGAATAGATCGTGTATAATATAATAATATGCATGATATTTGTGTTCTATATTTTCAGAATAGATCGTGTATAATATAATAATATGCATGATATTTGTGTTCTTTATTTTCAGATTAGGATATGATTTGTTAGTTGGTGGTGTATTAAATATGAGAGTAGAGCATTATAAAACAGTCAATGGTTATTCTAATATGTATGTTGGTTGGGGAGCAGAAGATGACGATATGGCCTACAGGTAAGATCATTGTCAATTACATTATAAAGGGATGTCACTATTACAATTTCCACCCGGCTTGCATGGTATCATAATATTGTCTCCATACGATTTCGGTATAGAATAAACAACCCTACCAGCGATGTTTTCAATTTTCCAGAATAGTGAATCAGCAAGTAAATAAGCAAGCCTTATGGTGCGGGAACACGAACAGTCCTGGTCGTGGATTTTTGTCGCTGACTCGAATTATGAGTAAGATCTCACTTATTCCAGCGCTTACACGATTATCGCATTGAAACTAGTTTGATATTTGTCGCCGATTGTTTTATCGTCTGCAAGCGCCAACATCAGATTCGTTTTCCTTTCAATTACACGATGCGCACGTGATTATAGACATAGTGGAAAACAACCGACTGAAGTTTTTTTGATTTCTCGTGTGCTCTGTCCAGTGTAAAACTGCACTGATATTTTGCCCTGCCGTATTCGGTTCGGACTGAGACCAACTCTTCTTGCGGGACTCGAAACTAGCACGGTGTCGATCCCTCTCAACCTGCCGCTTTTTCTGGCGAGCCGTACTCAGGCCCGGATAATTTTTGACAGTTTAAACGCGGTTTTTGTTTTATTGTTGTTAATAACTTAATTATTATAACATATATTCAAGGATTAACATTCTCTGCTGTTGAGCGGAACCTGTTTATTTACAAAGCACTTTAATTGTTAAATGCCATAAATGTATAATGTGTCGGCATCATAATGTAAAGTGAAGTATTAAGCACATTAAAATTAGAATAAAATTTAATATAATTTCCAAGTCAATGGAATAATTTCGCATTTTGAAACTAAAATCATTGTTGTTCCCCTTAACTTGTCATTTATGCTTGTCTTGACTGACATTTTGTATTGCTCTAGGCGACCGATTAAATTTTGAAAAATACAATTGTCATAACATTACACTGTATTGCGAAGGAATTTATCGTTTGAAACAGAAATTGGAAATCGACATTATTTTCTTTACGTCTAAACTAAATCTGACAAGCATGTTTTTCTCAATAGAATTCCACTTTACGTTCGCTATGACCTCATTAATCAACATTAAACCATATCGAGTCACCGTTGAACTGAAAAAAAAAATATCTTTATGTGGATGATAATGATAGATTTGATCTAAAATAAGATAAAACAAAATGTATTGTATTGAAATTGCTTTTGACTACATAGAAATAGTCAAATTGGAAATGGAAGAGGTACAGTTTTCAGTACGTTGATGATCGATTCAATAGAAAATAGAAGAAGGGAGTGGCGTTCGTACCTCATAATATTTATGCGTCTTTATATTCAACTATAAGGATAACCCCGCAATGTGTACCGCAACGTACATCGTGCCTCGTTTATAATGGGCAGCTTTATGTCGTCTTGGGTATAAGGGAGTGAAAGCCCACTTTAGGCCGACTTTCGGAAGCACATGCACAGGCTTCAGAATTCTTCTAAACTTGAGGAAGATTCGAACTTACGGCACCTAATCGCCGAGCAGACGACAATCGAACTCGCTACATCGTCGCATCCGAAGAAATGTTCGGAAGATATCGGAATTTTGAAGGAACGATTAGCACCCTGGACCTTGGTGAAGGAATGATTTTAAAGGGACCATTGTGCCGTTTTTTGACCAATAATGTTCACAGCTCATCGTCGAAATTTGAGCCTTTAAATCCACGTGTGTCCAGAATTATCCGCGTTTCAAAGACGAGACTCTGCTATATAATAGAAATAGGAAAATAAATTCCTAGATATTTTTTAAAAGAACTATGCGATTTCATACATTTCTAGTACTTCTAAAGACTATTTACATATATTCAATACCAAAATAACCATCTAAAAATGGCAAAATGTCTCTTTAATTGAAGTGTATTTTTATGACTCATTGGGCTTGAATTAATTTGACAGCGAGTTCCTGTTTTTAACAGATAAATCTCTGTGATAAAAGGGTTCAATTCTTTCTGGTTAGTTCAAGACCATTGGTGATGTTTTTATCAATTAATTTCCATTATGAGAAAACAAATTCATTTCAAGTAAAGCCTCTGATCACAAGGCACTCGATTTCAAAGAATATTGTAATCTTTTTTAAGTTGAAATAAATAATCAATAAATGAATGTTGTTACTTAAAGGGCAGGATGTGAACGCTCTCAAATTATATCGTTAATCATTAAATCTGACCTCAATGGAACTTGAGAAGATTTAAAGTGATTGAACTACGTCGATTGTTGTTTGACGCATGTGGTCGCTGATGTTCTTAGAAACGTTGACTAACTGACTAACTAACTTTCTTTTTTTTTTCTTTTGTTTGCGATAGTAACATATTGAAAAGTTATTGTTGAGAACGGAGTATTTACTATGTAATATTAGCCGTTAATCCGGTCATAAGGTTTCCGTTTTCGCACGTCTGTGATTTAAGATACGTTACAGTGGAAATTGTGCAGAGATCAATCGGATCACATTCAAGAAATCGGCATTCAAAGTGAATGCCAATACTGGATAACGTCAAAATTGGTTGCTTACTGAAATATGATGAAACAAGTGAAGAATGAAAAGTTGATATTATGTTTAATTACATTAGCGAGGCTCAATCATTAAAGTAATCTTTTAGTGGATGTTAATTCTAGATAACATCATTAAAAGTAGTCACTGACTCCTAGACTTTTGCTTTCATGACGAGGATCTTCGTCGAAGCTGTATGTAGACAAAGATGGGCTGGATGATAGAGGCTACATTAAAAAGACATTAAAAGTAATTAAATTGTTTAGAATTTAGAATAAAATATGTAGTGTAATTATCTTTTGACTTAATGTGGTCGTTTAAAATGCGACCATCTTCACAATGTCAAGTTATTTTGAACTTCAACTAATATCTTGACTTCATTCGACTCTTTCTTGTATCATGCAATGCAGCGATTTAATTGGCTTCGATGCTAGCGAATACAGGAAATCAGAGCCCTGAACATAAAGACTTTAAACATTTTAGCTAATGGTTTACAGACTTTCTGTCTGTCGAGTGGTCTGATTGGCTATAGTCGCTAACGTACAAGCCAACCAAAACGCTGCTTTTAGAAGCTCTCGTTATAAAAGGAAAAAGCATAATGATGTCAAGGAATAAGACGTAGTTCATAGTAGCTTTACATTATGAAGATGAATACGACCTGGACATCAATAGAGCTTGTTTCTGGTTACAAATTAAAGAGCATAATATAACGCCGAGGATTAAAAAGTCATTTGTCTGATAACTTTGCGAGACATTGAAGTAATCTACAGCATTGAAAATGTCCTGTTGACCCATGTGCAAATGGATACAGATAATCTATTGAAGATCTTTGCCATTAGGATTGGGCCAGACCAATCTAATTTTAATTAGAGGCATATCTGGTGGACGGGAATCATTGATTATAGTTGCTGTTATATGGGGTGTTGGGGTGGGGTTGAAAGGGTTAAAAATTGACACCTCATGCCGAGTCAAGAGTACTGACTGTAGTAACAGTATATTTGATGTTTTCTGAGTTATTATTGATATCACGAAAAACCTTGTCCGCCATGACAATTAATTAACGCCAATAATTAAAACTCTATACATGCAATAGTGTGTCAGTTATTATGATTTAAGAAAGAAAATCCAATATTTATGTTAAAACAATATTTTATGCTGATGACATGTGCAAAGCTACGACGAGGTACGGTGTCCGGTGAGGAAATATCAACCATGCCAGTTTATAGAGAGTGCATTTTGGGGGTTTCATTTATATTATGAAATATTGATATTGTATATAAGTTAATGGGGCATCGCAATCAAAGCCCACTGTAAAAAGCGACAAATTGTTCGCTGGTGGGTACAAATCATGAATCTTTGTGCTTCAGTATATTTAATGAAAATTATATATCCTCTGTGTGAGTAATGATGCATTGGATACTATTTATATTCGTCCTAAATTGCCTATGGAAGTCCAAATTGTTTATTATATGCACCGAACACACTGGACACCGCACCTTACCGATTATATTCCCCTGCTGAAATCATACAATAATTTCTAAAACCCCTAATAATAATAGCCTGCTTTCTTTTAAGTACTTGTGTAAAACAGAAATCAACATGATTCTGATTCGAAGCATATTGTTCGCATTTAATACTTCGAGTATGTGCCGTTTTACTTGATCTTGCATGTGTGCAGATGAATAAAAATATGGGCGTCCTCGATTATAGTCAATCAAGGATCCTGAAAGAGGCAATGGATAGAAAAAAGTTGAAAACCGCTGCCCAATTTGAACCCCTCTGTTCTTAGAGGCTGGCACCGCCATTGTAGCCATCATTGAGCTAATGTGGCAGAAACCAAATAATACCTTTACATTTTATTCTTTTGGAATTTTTCCAAGCTTTTTCATTGTCTGTTTGGAATAAAAAGAAACATTACAATTGTATTTAAGTCGAGATGGAATAAATTAGTGCTTCATGTTCAGCTATATTGTCCACAAAAACACTAGTATCTCTTCCAGTTTCACTATTTTAAGTAAATTTAAGACCAGTCCTTGACAGAAAGCCTATAAACATTATGGCTTCACGTCCACAGGCTTTCTTTGGAAGCCTCTGATTGGTTGTATTCGCTATCATGCAATCCAATCAAATCGCTTCGTTTACAAACTTCCATGATACAAGAAAGATGACTAGCCTACTGCAGTTAAGGTATAGGTATGAAGGTCGCAATATCTTGACATTGTGAAGATGCAACAAAGGATATTTTAATTCCTTCAAATTCACGTTACCAAGAACTGCCTCATCCAAATCCAAGGATCTGCAATTTTGAACAGCGAAAATTCTTATTGGCCGATTATAGTTACGTTGGCGAAAGAACATTTTTGCTTTTTTTGCAATGTATATGATCATGAAGATTTTTGTTTCCAAATTATTTCTCCGGTACTATGCATACTATCTATAATGAGTACTATTTGGTGTATTTTTTTTAATTCCAGGATATTGCATACAGGTTTAAAGATTAGCCGTCCACCAGAAAATGTAGCCAGATATAAAATGATTAGACATACAAAAAGAAAACCAACATCTTGGGGAACTCGGTAATTATTTTTAATTTTTCTGCATTTCTAGAAATGGATTGGTCATCTCTTTAATCCCGGCATAGGTCGAGATGCTACCTTCGGATTTTTCAGTCCAGTTTCCTTCTTTGTTAGTGATGTAGGTAAGAGTATAGCTGACATGGAAATCCTTGTAATATGTCCCCGAATGCACACTACATGATGTAAC